AGTACAATAGATGTCTTGTACACAGTCATGCTTCATGACTAACAAAAAAGGGAAAAATAATTCTGAATGTATAATTGTATATTGATTTAAATGCTCATGACTGTTAGATAGTAAGATATGAGGAACTTTTAACTCAAAACTGCTGATTTCTTAAAAAGAACAGGTGACAGTGCGGTTTATGTTTGAAGTAAAACAGAACAACTTTTATCGGTCACACACACTACTATAAACAAAAAAGACGTAATTTTACCGTCATTTATGTGAAATTCTAGCAATGAATATCTAATTCTCTGTTAGAATTTCTGTGTTCAATTCTGGCCTAATTCTGCAAATATGGCTGCTGTTCACTCAACTCGGTATGTAACGCAAGTTTTCATTGGACGTTTAGCAAGTTCACTGGAAAGGTTATATGAAACTAAATGTTTATTAGATTGAATACCACTAAATATTGGGCCACAGCAAATACATGATATAAATGTAAACAAGAATGAAACGATCAAGGCTTAGTTCTGATTGTTTCACACATATAACAACATGTTAAATTAAGCACAAGACATACTTACACACAAGTGTATAGTTGGGTGTGATCTGTTTGTAATAACTGTGTGTTTTAATGTTGTACTTTTTGGGTACACAGCTGAATCCCACCAGCTGTATTTCATGAGCACTAACTATTATATTTCACATACTGATAGCAATCAGTATGAATGGTTTTTGATATGAAATCAAAGAGACTTGTTGAAGATTCTGATGTGACATTCCAGGCAAGATTGTAATGATGTGACATTCCAGGCAATACACCAGGATCACCTTGTATTATCATCATTAATTAAGAGATGAAGCATCAAAAACATTGTTAGTATCCATGCAAACATCTCTTTTTTCAGTGCATCAATTTTAGCTGATAACATCAAATTACAAAATCTGAACAATATGCACATGGACACTTCATGAAAATCATTCTGTAAAAGGTTGGTTAAAATCCTTTGAGAAATATAGGAGTTCAGTGTGCATATAAGTTGTTTATCTGACTATTACTGCCTAGCCACTGGTTAACATTTTCCAATCTTATAACCCTGAGTTTTCTGTTTAACATATATCAATGATGGCCTTTACTGTTTTACTTACACTCTACTGAACTTTAACTGAAAGTTTATTTATCAAAACATAACAACTGTCCTTATCATCACTAAAAATGTATAATGTGCCATACAATGTAGATCACAGTTTTTCCATTTAATTATTCTAGTTTTAGTACTCCATTTTAAGTTTACAGTTCATATGTATCAATTGTTGTAAGAGAAAGAAAAAAGGTTTCGCAGCTAACTATAGAGGCCTACCATTGTCTAGCAAAATTTCAGTTCTTTTTATCTTTTATAAAATAACCATCATTCTTGAACCTGCCCTTATCCTAGCCCACAAATGCAATTCTCCCCCTCCACACAGTTCCCTATTAATTAACCCTCTTTTTCGCCTGGTCACTGTTTGGTGGCCACTGGGTGTTTTGTGCTATTATATATATTGGGGGCTGCATTTCACAAATGTTGCACTCGTATGTTAATCTTCATTCAATATTTTACCTACATCAACTGAGAATACACCAGGGAGAACCTGCATTATTTAGAACATAACGAGGTGTTAGGCATTAAATGTTATAATATTCACAGCCATATGAAATCAAATAATACACAACCATAAACATAATTATACAGTCTGACCAGTCTGATCACAATTTCTGTACAGATGGCTGTACAATTCATCACTTTGAAATTGAAATCTCTCCACTTAATATTTATGGACAATTCCACGTTCAAACCCTTCCATTTGGTATAGGTTCAAGTATTACTAGGAGTAAACAGGCTTCTCAAACAAATATTGAGTATACCTTGAATCTATCACTCTAGACTGGAATTAAAAAATAGTCAAACAAAGCATAAGGAATCTTTTTATTGAAAACTATCTGGTTATAGCAAAGTTTTAGCTGTAAAGAACTACAAAATAAACAGCAATATATGGAATACTTAACATATATCTTACAGATTTGTATATATTGAAATATACATATGCTTACATTATACAAACATTAATTTTGCACATTATAGAAAACTTGCACATTATGAGAATTTCCTAAACACAATTTACAACATATATTATGACTTTTAAAGATCAACTCTTTATTTGAACTTTTTATTATCAAAAATTTTGAAAATTTAATGATACAAATACTTTGATGAAAATTGAGTGAAATACATATATTTTGCATAATGATTTGCAAGCAAAAATCATACTAACTTTCCTGTTCTGAAGATTGTCAAAAATTCTTCTCTTATTTTCAATGTTGTAATTAAGGATGTAACAACACTTGAGTGTAATTTTATATATGTATATAATTATTCTTCTAAAACAAATGTTTAAACATCCAAAAATATTTTACATATATACTGCAAATGTTTATATGCATTATAAGTTAACATTTAAATATAATTGCATTCATTTCTTATTGAAAAATTTGGCTTAGAGTTTATCGAAAATAAATTTCTTATCACCTCCCTTTATTTACATGAAACGTAAATTTGGTAATATCTTTACAAATTATGCTTTTTGGAACTTACAATATGGATAAATCTTCATTTGAGTGTCATATTTATGATATGAAACCATAAAAAATTGAGTTACAGGATCTTTAAAAAGTAGACATGTCAAAATATTATAATTACTTGGAATATAAAATGTTTTTGTATTACCATATACGTGTAAATACTTATACTATCTATCTATTGATTATAATTATCTTTTTATCAACAAATAACCTATAGCTACTGAACTGTCATTATTATTAAAATGTGCAATGTGTTTAAAGTTTGATTGATATCAGATTAAGAAATAGAAATTTTTACAAAAGCTGTTAAATATATATCAGCATCCCAACCACTTCTTCATGTGACTCATTTAACCCATAACATGCTGGAAGTGAAAGTGAACAGTCTTTGCAACAAATTTAGAGACAGGCCAGTCTACACATCCCTACTGTCCGACCAGGCTCTATACTGATTACAGATAGTAACTCAGTCTTTTTTATTTTGATATTAATATCCCTTTAACTTTCAATGGACTGTTCCCAAATTCAAAGCTAGGCAAATCCATTACATAATTTCACCAAGTAAAAGGCTAAACAGTTAAAAAGCAGGAAGGTTTTGTGATGTGAATTATAACAAGCAAAAGGAAGAATAAAATAAATTAACATAAAATTTTACATTTACATGTACTATGGTACTTTTAAAATCAAGCTGATATTTGAACAACTGCCCATTTATAAAAAAATAAACAACAAAAAACCACCCACAACCTGTGATGAAAATGGCATTAACATAGGTGTATTTTCAATTTTATATAAAAAGATCTCTGCACATTTTTTTATTGGATTTAACATTGCACCAACACAGTATAGATGATATGGCAACTTTCCAAGTTTACTGGTGGAGGAAGACCTCAGGTGCCCTTCTGCACTTTATTTCAGGCAAAAACAGATAGCTGAGTATAACCACTGACATTCTGTTAGCTAGCTGGATAGCTTTCCCACATGAAAATTATGAAGACGCTAGGTATCTGCACATTAAAATTTGTATAAAACTGACAGAAGTCAAACTTGAAAAAAGGAAAATGTAGTAAACATAATAATAAGCTAGAAGCTTGTTTCAAATTTGTAATGATTGTTTATGAAAAGGTAAATAAACACATAAAAGTAATTCTACATAACAAAAACTGTGATATGTCATGGATAAAATCTAAACAAAAAAACAACAAAAGCCAGCACACACACATCAGTAAGTATGAATTAAAATATACTATGGCATACATCAAAATAAGATCTTTATATATGGAAAGCTATTGTAGTCATCCATTGCTTTACTTTAAGCCAGTAGTCAAGACTGTCAAATCATTTAATATGCTACATCATGGATACAATTCTATGCTAAATGAAAGGTTCAATAAGAAACAAAAGGTACATCATATTGCACCAAGATCTAAAACTTCTCATTTTTATGGGAAATTGCCACAGGATTTCAATACCATCAATATATTTGGAACATGATAAATGTATAGTAAATTTGATGTAAAATGAGCATTAACAAAAATATGAAAACTACTTTAACAAAATATAATAGACACATTTCAGTAAAATAAATCAAATAAAGGTAGTAATTTACAATCCAAATATACTAATTTAACACCAATATTCACATTTTTAAATACAAAAATGTACATAACAACAATTAAATTATATATATTCATGAAAGATCTAAATATAGCATAGAAAACATTGTGTGTCTGAAAACAGACCACAAATTGTATAGGGTTTTTTTTGTGTAGTACAAAATCACAAGTCAGATACATTTTTAGCTAGCACATCTTTGCAGTTTTATAAACTGTCAACTGTTGGCAGTTTGTTGTTGTTTTTTCCCCACCATATAATACCTGTACCGTAACTTAAAGCTGCATGCCTCCAGATGAGCCAAAATATTTCAAGAAAATCAAAAACTTGATAAAAATTTACTAAAATTTTAAGAAAAGTAAACAATTTAAGATTCAAGTAATGATTAACATGTCATGTGCAATTAATGGCTGATTTTGCAGTATTTATCATCATAGCATTGCTTAATCAGTAAGGGCTATTTTTGATTATTTTGACCTTTTTTTAGTAATTTACATGGATGGCCAAGTGATGTTTGTGTAAATTATTTTATCCTGCTACTGTCTATATTATCAGCTTGATAAAGCCTTGTCGGATAAACTTATCTATTTCCAGTCATTAAGTCATATGACATCACATGGTTAACAGCAAAACAAAACTAAATGTAGACCTTGTTTTATTGGGGAAAAAGTAAGATTGAAACCATCTAAATACATGATCAAAAGCAGGATAAATCAAATACATTGCTGATGTCGGGATGGGAGAAGGTTTATCCGGTTCCCTACGAAACTGAATCTTGGCTCGCTAAAGCTTGACACTTTCTTGCTCACCAGATAAACCTTCTCCATCAACCATGTATTCTCTATATCTTGGTTCACTTCACAGTATTTTACTTTTAAATACATTTTTAAATTTTCATGAAAATTAGCATAATTCTGGAGGTATGCTGCTTTAAGGGGACAGTTCTACAATTTAAGCAGGTGAGGAATGTAATACACAATGCAAAAATTGTAATAAACTATAAAAAAAAAATTCAATTTGACATAATTCAAAAAATTCCATTTGACATAATTCAATCAGATGATTTGACATAATTAAAGCAGATGAACATGTAGATGATAATTTGTGTCCTTAGATTTTGGACTCACACCCTACAGGTAAATATATTATCTATACTAATACTGAACACTTCAGATAAGCATACAAAGCAGTATTCAAAATGAAAATTAGGAATGAAGAAATTTAAGATCATATTCTAAACATTTTGTACCGGATAATTTTGTTGCACCGGATACGGTTTCTGTACTGGATAATTCTTGGGCTCGTCTTCAAACTCAAAATCGGTTCTATATGCAGCCTTACCTTGCAAGAAATATATAATGTTAAATAGTTTATCTACCGCGGTCAGTGTGCTTATTTTTTGCTGAAAATATGTTGTCTGACCACGAGCTACTATGTCTAGTTGAAACTTTATTAAACTAACAGCCCAGATGATACTGAATATATGCATAACCACCATACTTAGAATCCAGCAGTCATCCCAAAACATGTCAACAAGCATTGTGGAATACTGTTTTCCCGGGTATTTGGATGTCACATAAAAATAAGTTTGTAATAAGAACATGGACATAACGAAACCCGTTTCGATGAGGAACCAGACAAAACGAGCATGGTTGTTATAGGCAACGCATTTCAATAAGAATAAACAATGGTGGTCCATTCTGTAGTAACAAATCTCACACAGTTTACAGTGCTTCGTAACCTTGGATCTCACATGCTGTAAATAAAAAATTAAAAAAACTTCAATAATAAACAGGGACGGGTACCATTATTTCAGTAAAAGAAATTAATTACAATTAAATTGAAAACTTCTGAATTAAATTACAATTACATGAAATTCAGATTGTTATTAATTAATTACTACTGTTTAGAGAAAAATAATTAATTATTTTCAAATAAAACTGCTTTAATTACAAACTTATGAGAAAGATTCTAGAGATCAACTTTTGAACATATAGATACAAGACACTTGATCTAGAACATTTATTTTTAAGGTAGTCTTAAAGCAATGATTTCCCACCAAAAAAATTCTAACATCAGCCAATAATTATCTTAATAAATCAGTCATTTCTGGAACGATATTTTTCAAAATCTTTGGTATTCAATTATTCTTTTCCATTTCTAACTGGAATTAAGTACATAGCGATAAATGATGAGTGATACTAAATACTCTAATCCCCAAGATCTTGAAAAAATAACATTTTTGGAAATAACTGATTTGCTATGATATTGGCTGATATTAGAATTTTTTTGGTGGGAAAGCATTACAGTAATACTACCTTTACATTCAAAGTCAGATCAGTCTGCTGGCAGACCTCTACAAACATAAGGCTCAGAGAAAAAATTATTAACAAGGCATTGTTACATTTAATAAACAGGAGAGCCTTTTTTGACACTCATATTACAGCAATTAGGACTATATATAAAGATAATGGACATTAATTAGATCTAATTGCCAATTACATGTCAAATTTAATTATGAAATTATTCAATTTCAATTAAAATATCTGAGTTTTAGCTTGAATAATAATTATTTGAAATTATTTGAAATATTGTAATAAATTATAATTAATCAAATTGGAACTGTAATTGTACCCATCCCAACCAAATTAATAAATATTTACTTGAGTATTGACAAATATTGTTCACTTCAGTGGGAAATAAACAGACAATTTTATTACATGAAGAGGTGTCCTTATGTAGCAATATAATTGCTATAAGTTCTAGATTTAAGGGTATAGAGCTATATCTTATATATAATATTTTTACTACACTTGTCAAACCCATGACACATAAAAAAACATTATTTTATTGTAACACTCATGATAAAAGGACACTCCTTATACATATAACTCATGACACTTTACCTCACACTCATGACAGAAGAGATCCATGCTGGAGTTTTTATCACAGAGATCAATAATGGTGATTGGTTGTCTAGTCTTCTCATTCAGTTCTCCAGTTCTTACAACTCCTGAAAACATATGTAAACGGATGTTAACTTTTTTTTAAGCCATTTCATATCCTTTACAAGACCAGAAATTGGGCAGCCAAAATATTACACATGGGAAGCCCAATGGACAGATCTTTAAAATTTACAAGCCAGGAAATAAGATTTAGATTAATTATCAAAATTTATGACAGGGTCTTAATCACAAACTGTAACTGATATAATGTATTTCAGCTTGCTTCATTTGCAGGTAAATTACACTAAAATCTGTACATACTGTAAATATATGTTATACATGTACCTTTAAAAACTTGAAATTGAAATTATGTTATGTTCTCTATGTATGAAGAGAACATAACTAATAGCTTTCAAGCAAATGGATGGACAAACTGACATGACAAACAAATGCATTACTATAAAACAACCAAAGCTATCTTAAAGCACACAAAAAATGTGCATCTCATTGCTATATTTAATTAAAAGTGTTTTTTTTTCAAACTTAAAAATGGATAGTTTAAGGAATTTTCAATACCACAGAGAGATCTAATAATGTATTATCCTGACCTTAATTCAAATTGGAGCAAGTCCATCATATAATTCAACATGAGAAAAGAATATTCAATATTTTTTTTTCATTGCTACATAGTTATGGCTGTGTCAGAAGTATTACAATTAATACTGCTAACAATGTTGTCTACCTGAGACTTACCTGGATCTGCAGCTATCAACTTGTAATAAAGATAAAGCTGTAGTATGTTGAAAATAATGGAAAGATAAAGTAATATCTGGTGTGGCAGATCTGAAATCAATGTCAAGGATGTATATACTAAAAGTGTTAGTATATTTAGAATTTATTTTAGTTAAATATTATGTTGGAAGCTTTAAGCTTATATCGAGACACTAGAATCTGTTTCTGGAACTGACCAGTACTAAGCAATGTGTCTAAAGTTTCTTCAACAAAGCTAGCTCCTGACAGTTTTTTTTTAAACCTTGGCTGCTAGCAATCATTAGATTTAGTTTTCCCTCGAGTCCATTGTAGTTTTTTAGGGGTTACCATATAGAAATTTTTTCAGTAACAGAAATTGGTTAACATCTTCATAAATTGTTCATTCTTTTCTTTTTTCAGGACAGCCATCTAAAACATGACCTGTAAGAGCTTGTAAACATGGTACATGTATTTTGAATAGAAAAAGTGCAAAAAAAACAACAACAGAAAGTCATATTTAATTTATATAAAAAATATCAAATTACCAAGAACAAATAGAAATTCTTATATGATTGGCAAGTTGTGGAGATGCAAACTCATGTAAAATGGTAGTCCTGCTACCAAAAACCCGCATCAGGGATGCAGAATTCCTGCATTAGGATAAAAACCAACTCTTTTTTTTCCTATCACCAGTCAAACAATTTAGAATCATGCTAAGTGTCTTAGTCATTAAAATAACAACAGCCAGATAGCTTCACTGATAGGACGATTGAAAGGATACGCTCTGGTATAGTCCAATAGTAAACAATCATCGTATGCAACATGCCAGCAAAAAATGTTCCAGCAAATAACGGATTGGCCCATCTGCAAATAAAGTAATATGGATACACATTTCCAATATGCAATTAGAGGAAAACAGAAATTTCTATTGTCAGGGTAAATAAATGAGTAAATAACACTATCTCTTTAGCTAGTTAAAGTAACATTATGCCCATCCAAAGGCATATAGTGAGTGAATAGGTGAAAGTCAAAATAAGGTTTCATTTTGCCATGATTCCTTTCAATTTCATAAATAAGTTCACAAAAATAATGAATAACTCACAGATCCACACAAAATTTCTGTACATATCCATAAGAATTTACCTATAATGCTAGTTTATAAAAAGAGTGGGGCAGTCTTTTCAAATTTCAGACAGATTTATGATTTTACCCATAACATTTTCCAATATCAACTATTGGCCAAACACCATTTTGACAGTCAATCTTTTGAAATATAAAGTTTAAAATTCAGCTCAACTTGACCATGAAAATATGAGCATAATGTCACTTTAACTAAACACTTATTTTATGCAATTTTTATATAAAAAAAAACATGGATAATTTGTTATGTACATTTATTCAAACATTAAAAACATCACTCTCACCATTACCTTCATGCAACAAACTGTTAACATATTTTTTTTCAAGCTGCAGGCAACAATAAGCTTTAAATATGGTTGTCCAAGATATTATCATAAGCAACATTCGGTTATCATCTCGCACTTACTAAGACCGTTGTCACAAGGACATATGGTCCAAGTTGTCTTTGACAACAAAAAAATTGAGAAGCAGACACCTTAACCTATAAACCTTATCTCTTTAGAAAAATAAAAATAATTTTAATTTTCCATACTTTATCAGAAAATAATTTACCTGGAAACATGATTAAGCCTGTGGGAAGCTTTCATACAAGTCTTCATAATATATACTAATGCTACAACAAAGACAAGGCCCTGGTAATTTGGGAATATGTTTACTGCAACAAATATGGCAAAAGCGTAAACAACAGTGGGCATCAGTAGGTGAAAGTACCACAGCTGAGTTGGTCCTTGTATCTTGGAATTCTGAGGTTTGCTTGTTAACTCAGTGAGAAGGGGTAACAGTTGGGTATGTCTGAAAAATGGAGAATCAAAATCAATGTATTATCTTAAGACTTAGATGAATATCTGCATTGCCTTATTCGCCTTATTGTTTGCATAATGACAAATTTTTATGTGTGTAACTGTAAAATCACATCTTTTATCTTCATTAAAAACTACTACTTTTAGTGTCAAAATAATTATCAGACATGGCTTAAGAACCTGCAAGGTCTATAACCAATTTTCTTTTTATGTAAGCCACTGAAATTAAGAGATACTATAGATATAAACCTTCATAAAAAATAGTACACACATGTACTCTTAAATAAAGTATTCATTGAATTACCTAAAATTAATAATTGCATGTGTCAAATGAATAAAAGTATTACCCAGATTTTTTGGAGGCATCAAACTGTTTAAGAACATCTAGAGGAGTTTGACCTAGGTTATTTTTTACATGTAGACAAGCTAGACCAAGGTAATTAATGAGGAGCCAGCTACCATGTGCGTAACCTTCTCTCACACAAATATGTAGTGGGGTATCTCCTTTAGAATCTGCTTGTCTTGGGTCACTCCTCTGAACACAAAGTAAAAATCATTTTAGCATATACACAGAATCTTTATATCATTTCCCTTTTCTCTTTTAACATCTGTACCGGGGCCCTGATATTACTCATTTAACAAGGCTTATACACAATTCTATATTTTGCCACCTAAGTGCAATAACTTGTTAACTCCTATTACATTTAGATGGACTTAACACGTTACTGCTCTAAGGTGACAATTTGTTTAATTAAAAGTAATTAGAATTTATAGACAATACATGTATGTTTATTTCAAAAAGAAAAATCAATTTCAGATACTGTCATTTGTCATTTTCAGGTGAATGTTGCTGGATCAAATGCTATTTTTTTACTCATTTTAAGTCAACAAATTTTAATTTGTTATAATTTTATAAGATTACATTTCCTAGATTTCAACTTGAATACATCTTAATAAACATACAATAAAATTGTGAACTTACAATTAAGAATTTTTGTGCCAAACAAAACATTCGAATTTTTCATATTTACAGTTACCATAGAAACCTTTCTCAGTTTTCAATAAATTTACCAAAACCAAGGTCTCTTTATTAATTTTGTATCATGTATTCCAAAAATGAGCCACATCACGACAAAACCAACATAATGGGTTTGCGACCAGCATGGATCCAGACCAGCCTGCGCATCCGCGCAGTCTGATCAGGATCCATGCTGTTCGCTTACAAACCCTATAACAAGTAGAGAAACTGATAGCGAACAGCATGGATCCTGATCAGACTGCACGGATGCGCAGGCTGGTCTGGATCCATGCTGGTCGCAAACCCATTATGTTGGTTTTGTCGTGACGCATCTTAAATAAAAGTCATATTACCCCTTTTCTTAAGAGATATTTAAATGCCTCAAGATGACCAAATGAGCACACACAATGAAGAGGGCTCTGTAAATTTTCATCCAAATCTCGGAATCCTAAACCTTTCTCTTCAAAGTACTGTAACATATACCTGTAAAATAAGTCAACAGTTTTAAATTTTCAATAATAAAAAGATTTTAAACTCAAATCAATTGAATTACTAGCCAGTGGCTTTTACAGGAAAACTAAAATGGATAAGTGTATATATGTATTAGTATACATAATTATATGATGATTCAAAATATAAAGCATGCAGAAATCAAGTCAAGTCTATAGCAATTTAACAAAATATAGTCTTAAGAAAAAAAACCTATCCAAATTTTATTGAACTAAGAAAATACATGTACTGATAATTTCACTTAAAAAAGCAATTTAATTTCATTCAAACTGTAACAGATAAAACAAGAGCTGTCACAGGAGACAGCGAAGCTCGACTTATAAAATACTGGACGCAGTAAGGAGGACAAAACTATGAAAGAAAAATCAATTATGTATAATTATGTATTAAGTTATAGTAAAAAAATAACATTTGTTAACATAAATTCCAAGATCAAGGGGAATAATTCTAGAAATAGTCATGCTAGAGTTATGAACCTTGTCACACAACATGTGTGTAATGATAAGAAATATATATTTGAAGTTTGAAGTAGATACCTTAAAAAGTAAAGAAGTTATAATATTTCTTAAAGAAAATCCTAAGTTCAAAGAGTGATAAATCTGTTAATATTGCTTCAAGAGTTATGAACATTGTCACATAAAATGTAATTGATGATAAGGAATAAGTATTTGAAGTTTGAGGTAGATACCTTTAAAACTAAACAAGAGCGATCAGTAATCACATGTGTCGCCTCATGATGGCCAATTTCATGTTTGGACAAATTTTGTGACAGACGGACAGACAGACAGACGGACAGTGCACAACTAGACTTGATACTGATCATTCCTGTAAAGTTTGGATAAAATTGCACCAGTAGTTTATGAGGAGTAGTCCGGACAAGCTTTTGCGTATCTGGCAACACACAGAAAAAAAACACATTTTTATCAAAGGGCCATAACTCAGCCAAAAATCATTCAACCGGAAAACCCGTGCAATATGCACAAGGACTTGAGCTACAGATCAATCCTGTTAAGTTTCATTGAAATTGCATTAGTGGTATAAGAGAAGTAGTCCGGATAAAAATTATTAAAGGGCCATAACTCAAACAAAAATCATTGAACCGGAAAATGCTGACAATATGCACAACTAGACTTGGTACTGATCATTCCTGTAAAGTTTGGATGAAATTGCACCTGTAGTTTATGAGGAGTAGTCCGGACAAGCTTTTGTGTATCTGGCAACACACAGAAAAAGAAACCTTTTTATCAAAGGGCCATAACTCGGCCAAAAATCATTCAACCGGAAAACCCTTGCAATATGCGCAAGGACTTGAGCTACAGATCAATCCTGTAAAGTTTCATTGAAATTGCATAAGTGGTATAAGAGAAGTAGTCCGGACAAACTTTTAAATGAAAAATTATTAAAGGGCCATAACTCTGACAAAAATCATTGAACCGGAAAATGCTGACAATATGCACAACTAGACTTGGTACTGATCATTCCTGTAAAGTTTGGATGAAATTGCACCAGTAGTTTATGAGGAGTAGTCCGGACAAGTTTTGTGACGGACGGATGGACAGACAGACAGACAGACGGACAGACGGACAGACAGACGACGGAGAAGTGATCCCTATATGTCGCCACTACTCCGTAGAGGCGACACAAAAAGTTATAGTAAAAAATAACATTTTTCTATTAAAAAAACTAAGTTTACAGGGAGATAATTCTTGCAATATTGGTGCTAGAGTTATGAACCTTGTCACATAAGATGTGGATGATGATAAGGTACATGTATTTGAAGTATGAAGTTGATCCCTTTAGAAATAAATAAGTAACAGTAAAAAATAATATTTTTTAAGGAAAATTCTAAGTTCAAGGGGAGATCAAACTGAAAATATTGGTGCTAGAGTTATGAGCCTTGTCACATAAGATGGGGATGATGATAAGGTACATATATTTGAAGTATGAGATTGATCCCTTAAGAAATAAAGAAGTAACAGTAAAAAATAGTAATTTTTGAGGAAAATTGTAAGTTCAAGGGAAGATAAATCTGAAAATATTGGTGCTAGAGTTATGAGCATTGTCACATAAGATGGGGATGATGATAAGGTACATATATTTGAAGTATGAGATTGATCCCTTAAGAAATAAAGAAGTAACAGTAAAAAATAGTAATTTTTGAGGAAAATTGTAAGTTCAAGGGGAGATTAATCTGAAAATATCGGTGCTAGAGCTATGAACCTTGTCACATAAGATGGGGAACATGATAAGGTACATATATTTGAAGTATGAGGTTGATTTCTTAGGAAATAAAGAAGTAACAGTAAAAAAAATAGTATTTTTTAAGGAAAATTCTAAGTTCAAGGGGAGATAAATCTGAAAATATTGGTGTTAGAGTTATGAACCTTGTCACATAAGATGTGGTTGATGATAAGGAGCATATATTTGAAGTTTGAAGTTGATACCTTAAGAAATGAAAAAGTTATAGTGAAAAATATTTTACTGCACCAAAACTTTAATCTGAAATCTGGACGGGGACGCCGGGGCGAGTAGGACAGCTCTCCATATACTTTGTATAGTCGAGCTAAAAATGTGTGTATACATAATATATAAAGATCAAACATACAACCATAACGAAATGACTCTTTTGATACAAGCATATTACAATTTATTGTTTAATTTTTGTATGGAATCTAGTAAACTTACACACTTCCTGTCTGGGCAGCATTATGTACTGGAGATTTTCCACTTTTATCTTTAACATTTAGATTTCCTCCAGCTTGACATAGAATATGAACTAGAGATGGAATGCCTCTCTTGCTAGCATAGTGAACTGGGGTTTCTAAAAAGTCATTGGTAGCATTTGGGTCTGCTCCATACTGAAGTAGCAGCCTGACCATTGCACAATCTCCTGATAAACATGCTCTGTGCAAAACTGTTTGGCCATGCCATCCTAGATTGAAATAATTCTATTTCACTTGAAGAAGATCATATTCTTTTATAAAGTATTATAAAGAATAAATGAAGTTGCTATACAACAAAATAAACAAGTTAAATAACAAATACAATAAATATCATCACCAAAGTTGGGCAAATTATATTAAGTAGTAAGTACATTTAAAGATAAGATAAGTAAATTTTATTATAGTGACATTGTGTTATGTACATACATAATAACGATACATATTTATTTTTACTACACCCAGCCACATTGGGCCTACAAGTCACTTAATGATTTAATGATTTTCAAAAATATACAATTTATAACATAATTTACATATTAACTAATCACTGATTTTTTTCTCTCCAATTTTCAAAACAACCTGTGGCTTTCCGAACAGAAAATATAGCTAGATAAATCAGAAAAGGGGGAAAAGTATTATATTTTGAAAGTCACAAGCAAAAATCAGGAGTAAAAGGCTCAAAAACTTCCACTTATAATATATAAGCCGTGAAACTTAATGTCATCTATTCATACAAATATATTTCACACTTATCTTTCCAATAAGGAAAATGATAGATGTCATATTTTTAAGTAAATACCAAATTAATAAAATAATATATTGTCAACATTGCATTTTTTCATACAATTTGTCGAAAATAAGTCTGTATATCCTTCAAGAAAAGATCTATATGTATTTGACTACATACCTGTATTTACATCTTATTTCTTAGCATTGTTTAGTATGCAATATCACTATGAACTTTTGAGAAAATGGGTTGATCAGCAAGGAGGGAATTAAACAATTTGGCAAGATGACATATCAAAAACATAATCATGTGATCAGACATTTCAGCAAGATGGCTAAGTGCTGAAGTTTTTACCTATCTGAAATTACAAGGCAGTTCATGTTCAAATTTAGTTTATTATATGTTGATACTTGGCTTATTAAAATATTATATTACTATACATGTATATTATATATTATATATAGTTTCATCAGCATATGCTCATTATACTCCTTGTCTATCAATGTCACATTTGAATATATCATTTTGTCAGTTTTGTCATGTGTGTTCTTTTGTCAGAGTATGAATCAAATCTGTAAATAAAATTGAAATTTGTAAGTAATTAACAAACTTATCACAAATTAACCAAATTTTAATAATTTGACCTTGACTGTCAATTAGAGATTAAGGTAATCTCAGAATATTTCAATATGTGGATGTCTACTTTTAGGTCTGTCCAAAGTGTTGTTATGTCCAAATATGAAGACAATCCATGACACAGGGAAGTCAAAGAAGCAGGCCAGGCTTTGGTTGGCCCGGCTATAGACTACATGTATATATTTAAAAGGAAATCAAATAAAAACAATTACTTAGAAAATATATTGATTTCTATACCTATCAGTGAAATTTTCAGGGTCCAGGGTTCTCATTAGGACTTTAAAACATGGAGTCCATGGAGTCCAAAAGCGCGTCGCAATTAATATGTTTACAGATTAGTCATTCAATGCTCACAATAGCATTGCTGATATTTTGAATCTTCAAGAGACTTCTAAAGTTTATAGTTATTCAAAAGAAACTCTGAACTACATAGTATAGTTATTGTTTTGTTGTTAATATTTATTATGAAATTATTTCATTATAATGCATCAACACATGGAAATCGTTTTTTTTTTTTCACTTTTATACCAAATCAAATTTTATTCTGGTTAAAAAAGTCCACTCTAAAGACAAAAAGTTTGTATTTGTAAAAAAAAAAACGTAAATGTATATAGGCAGCGTTTAGCGGAATGAATAGGAAAATCATGTACAGCTTCACACAGTGTGTAAGAGATTCATCCGATCGACAATTAATTTAGCAAATATCTTCAAAAGGGGGCAAATTGAAGATCGACATTTAAAGATTTAATGTTGATTAAATAATAAAGGAACAATTCATTCGCATGTTTGGCTTGGAAACAGAGAATTTTTGCGAAATTTTAGGGTTTCTGGCGAACGTGAAATCGCCGATGTTCGGGATCAATTTTCGGATAGAATAAAAGCGTATGTGTACCTGGCATTTCGGCACAATATCTTAAATTCTTAATACTCTTATAGAAAGTTTTTGCAAGAATGAAACTAAAGCAAAATTGTGCCTAGAAAATGCCGAAAATATTCGACAATCATTATAATTACACTCATTTGTAATTTGAGAAAACAGTCTTTAAACTTGCGGCTTAAATAGTCGATAATTTTATCCTTTTGTCGGTAAAATTTGCTAATTTCCAATCAACTGTTGATCAAAGATATAAAATTATCACCTCGTGTTATATCTGGTAATAATCGCGTGTATACATTCAGGGCTTGACACTAACTTTTTTTAGGGGTAGTCAGAAGGACTACCTACTTTCAGGATCAGGTAGTCCTTGGCAAATCTAGGTAGTCCTCATTGTAAAACATAAAAAAAGAATTCTTATTCTATTTAAATACATTTTGAGTGTATGTATCTGAAGATAAGAAAACAATAGCATGAGATCTCTTCTTTATTGGAAAAAATCACCAAAAGATAAATCATATAAGATCTAGTAAAAGTTTGTAAGCTTTATTCTGTATGAGATGTAAGTCCTGGCTAGCCTCCTCTTCAAAGTCATCATCAACAATTTTTTTACATATTTTGTTATAAAATATGGCAGTGTGACACAAAAGTCAATAGGTTTTGAAGGGCCAGACATTACCTACAGGTACAGGGTTCTAGCCAGGAATTACTAAGGTGTGTTGCAAATAAAATTGCTAGGCAATCAGCTCAGCTTATATTATTGACAGCTTATTGGGAAGGGGAGAATATATTGGCAATATGAGCTAAATAAGTATGTCAGTTTTAAATTTATGTAATACCTGGCTTTTGTATTAAAAAATATTTCAATAGAGCTTACAAATCTACTTACAGGTATAGATATGACCTTTTAGATGTGTTTATAAATTCAAAACAGAAGTAAAAAGCTTGGACAAGAACAAAATATGTTTGTCTTTACTCTAATTGATTTATTCTACAAACTTATTTTGTCAGACATAAAACAACAAAATTTCAGAATTACAAACTTTTACTAGTGCTAGTAATTCAGTTATTTAACTGTCAGAAGATTTAAATAGGGACATTAGATTAATATCTGTTGTCCCTGATTTAAACACGAAATTAGAAATGTAAAGCCATTTTTAATCAAACTATATTGCCTTAGTTTTTTATGCCTAGGGTATTAGTATTTGTTAACAATTTTTTTCTTCATATACATGTATTGGCATTATTGCTTACATTTGCTTGTACATGATTAAGAAGTGCTTACAACATTGTGAAGTTATGGCAAAGACAATTACAAATACTTATGAATATTTCTTTTCTCTTTTTTACAGAGATTTAAACATTTTTCTTCTCTTTTTTTATAAACAGATTTTTTCCCAATCAATAATTTCATGTCCGAATAAATAACATCCGAAATCAGATCTATTTCAGACAACACGTTTATTTTGGTTACCATTGTCAGTGTGATTTACATCAATCAACAAATCATATTCTTTTAAGTTTAAACACTTGAATAGGTTCCAATATGAGCAAATATTTTCATTGAAATGTTTAATAGACAAAGAATTCTATTGAAGTAGGCTGGAAAAATCGGCAATTAATTTGGACTTCCGGTTTCACTTTTTGCAAGTTTATAGAGATTAAATAGAATCTATTATGCGTCTGCTGTGACTGACACTAGTGACCCAACGGCTAATTATTTACTAGTAAGATGAATTTATCTTTCATTTTGAATCATAGCCTAAAAAATGTTATTTTAATAATTATTTTTAGTGAATTCAGAGACATCAGGTCACTGAAATATTGAGTAGCCCGACGGGATACCCAGCTCGGGTAGTCCTTGGGGAAAATTGGTAGCCTCGGGCTAACGGACCATCGTTAGTGTCGCGCCCTGACATTAGTCTTATCACTATTGCGTGATAACGATCGGAAGCGTTATCGCTGATTGGCTAATCGCTTCACGGGTCGATGTGCATAGGACCGCCTACCTATAGACTGACACGCGCTGACGCATTTGTGTATTTGTGGCTGTGAACAATCGGTAATGTTTATGCGTCCCCAGGCAAAATTAAGCGTACGTGGAATCCTTGCTCTGAAATATTTGCGTCCAGCTGTAATAAACATGCGTACCGGGACGCCGAAATAAGTGTCCCCGAGAACCCTGGGGTCATATCTAGTTTGGCGCTGCCTATTTAAATGTTACTCAATGATTATAGGCAAGGTAGATTCTATTCCAATTAATACGAAACAATCACAAATTTTTTGCTTAATAATAATGGTCGAGGTGTTCCAAGTGAAAACAGAAGCGATGCATGAAATGCAGAATGATATCTTTAAAATGGAAAATGTTAAATAAATAGTGAACAACTTTTTTAACCGACATCTCTGATCATGATCATAGGCTTTGCCTCATAATTTTTATACAGGAAAGTCAAAGTCCGGGCCCGCAAAGCGGGCCCGGGCTTTGGCTTGCCCGGCTATAGACTACACGTGTATATTTAAAAGAAAATCAAATAAAAAACAATTAAAAAATATATAGAGTTCTATACCTATCAATGAAATTTTCAGTGTCAGTTCTAGATAGGCGCCGCCATTTACAATGTAACTCAATGATAAAAGGCGGCGTATTCCGATAACGTAACATATCTCAACTTTTCGGATTAATAATAATCGTCGAGTGTTCCGAGTGAAAACGGAAGTGGGTACATATAATACCGAATGACACCTTTAAAACGGAAAAATGAAAGGATTTTTTACCGACTTCCCCGTTCATAGGCTTTGCCTAAATTCATATTATTGAAAATGTTAGTTTTTGCAAAGAAAATCAGAGTGACGGCCTGACTTTAGCCATAGCTCTATTTTTTTCAGGAATGGTTAAGCTAAGAGGATTGAAATTCAGTGAGTACATGAAAAGATTAGTTACCTTTTTCCTTTACAAGATCAGGGTTTTGGTTCAGAATTTGTTGTACTGCCACACCTGCACAACTACTGATAGCATGCATCAGAACTTGAAGCTCTGGATTTACAGGTGCTTGGCCATCTCGGTTTGTTTGAGTCGCCATATTGATCTTCTTTTTTATTTTTCAATGCTTTGCTTCTTTTAAACAAGTTTCGAAATATTTTTTTGAGATTTCGCTTCCCCAGTCAGCCATATTTGTTCCCATGCCAAACATATTATGGAAAATCATTATTGATTGGTCCAGATTTTCAGAGTCTATCCAATGAAATTTAGTTTTACTGGTGCACACAAATTTCGGCAAACTTGGAAATTTAATTTCAGGTTGTGAGTTGTTTCACGAATAAATTATCGTGATATTCTGAAATAAATGTTATTGCATAGTATCCAATAACACCGAATTTGAACACAATAACAAATTGTATTTGTTGATTAATATTTATTATTTCATTGCAATATGTCATTAGTTTTCGCAGTATGAACGGTGTAGTTTATCAAATTGCCGCGTTTAGTTTATCCTACTTCTATTTATATGAACATTTTTACCTTTGTTATCAGAGAAACCGTCAATAAATGGAGTGTTGACTTCATCTAAATGTGTGATCTGTAAAAAATATGCGTAAATCGACAATCACGTGGCCTAGATCTGTAGATGCAACACTGAATTAGACGGTCTGGACAACATAGATAATTAGAGCAAATAGACTTTGAAGTTTATGACAATCACATAGGGTTTAAGAAAAAATTCAAGAAGTGACATTACTTGCAGTCAATGGGCCATAATCTATCTACAACTGTTCAGCCAAAAAAGCAGCTACCCTAAATTAGCCTGTGAAAAATTAGCAGACAATCACTTTTTTTTCTGAAAATGACATGACTGAAATTCAAATGAAATGGTTCATTTATCGTCATTTTAGGAACTTGAATTGTAGAATGACTTGTAGTTTTCATGTCCTTTATTCTTTAACTTGTTTCTTCTTTGTAGCAGTGACTTATTTCCTTGAATAGGAAGGAGAAAGTGCTACATAACAAACATAAATCAAACCACTTTTTGAATATATCATTGATCCAGAAAAAATTCTTAAATTCAACATTTTTTACCTCATTTACAGAAATGGGAAAATGGAAGTTGAATACTGAATGTGTCGTTTCAGGGAAATTTTATATAATGGGTTAAAAATCTTGTGAAAATCAAGTCTTTGAAGAATAAAACATCTGAATAAAATGCAGTTACTTGATTTATTTTTCACTTAAAAAAATTATGTGGGGCATACATGGCCTAGTGGTTATGGTTATTGTTCTTGTCTTCAAATCACTTGCCCAGCACTGCTGTAGGTTTGAATCCTTCTAGGGGCTTTGAATTCATTCATGTTGGTAGCCATCCAGCTAGCTTTCAGAATTTTGGTGGTTCTAATCTACTTGGGTGCCTTTAATAATGCACTGAGGGGCATATGAGATCTTCATACACCAGTAAAGCTTCAAAGTTGCCATTTAACTTCTAATGCATTAGTGCGACATAAAACCAAACAAAAACAAAAATTTTGGTGTCAATAAGGTTTTGTTATGCTTTACACTTATTACTTCATGTAAAGTTTAACATATTTCTGAGAATATTGAAACATTGAAATATTTACATGAAAGATAAAATATGATATTTTGATGCAAGGTTCACCTTGGCTCAAGTCAGCAGGGTTTTCATTAAGATTTTGTGTAAGAGGCCAGAATGTGATTGAAGGAGGCCTGATAGGGGGGTCCGGGGGCATGCCCCCCCCCCCCCCCCCCCCCCCCCCCCGAAAAATTTTGAAATCCAGGAAGCAAAATCCTGCATTCTGAGCACTTTCTAGCATTCTGCATTCTAGCCACTCTGGTTTAGCATCATTTTTTGAAAAAACACTATGGAAACTACTGGAAAAGCTTGAAACAGGTGCACTGAAATATGCACTTCATAATTGTTAGTTGTGTCACTCACTATACACAGCTTTTAACAATAATTTTTTTCATTTGAGCTAAACCGTCACACCTATTTGCAAATTATAACTGTAGAAAGTTAATAAACAACAAGCCAAGATAAACTTGATCATCATTATTTATAATCAACATCATCAATTTTTAAAGCCAAACATAAACACTTTTCATAGCCAACAATCATCATTTTACATACTCTCACATGATCACATTTTAACATAGTTCAAAGTCAAGCATCATCATTTCAAACTTCATAATGTTATATATCATCAAATTTCATAGTCAAACATCATCACTTCAAATAGTAAAGCATCATCACTTCAAATAGTAAAGCATCATAATTTTTCATCATAAATCTTTAAAGCAAAGTGTCATCAATTTTCATAGCAAAACTTCATCACTACAACTTTCACATAGTTAAACATCATCAATTTTCAAAGCAAAACATTATCAATTTTCATAGTAAAACATCATCATTTTTCATAGTAAAACATATCCAATTTCATAGCCAAACTTTCATCAAATTTCATAGGAAAACATTATCAATTTAACAAAACATCATCAATTTTGCATAGTCAAACTTAATAAAATTTCATAGTTAAACATCATCAAATTTCATAGTCAAAAAATCATCAAATTTCATAGTAAAACATCATCAAATTTCACAGCAAGACATCATCAATTTAAATAAACAAAACATCATCATTTTTC